ATGCATGAATTAAGCTATAATTCAACATGTTGGAACTAAATTATGACTTAGCTCCTCAATTAGACATGAATCATGCAAGGACTAGCTCGAATTCAACAATGAGAATGTGAAATCCTTACCTAAGTCTTGAATTAGAGGTATGGAGGCTCAATGTTGCAAGTTTTCTACAATATCCTCAAGATTCCAAGCAAATCCCTCAAGAACACATCAATTCTCTAACTCCTTCTCTCTCTAAATCGGTTTTGTGCTCAAATGAGGTTGAGGAAAAGTTTGTCTAATTGTGTACAAGGCTCAATATGTTGAGGTAGTGGGCACTAAGGATGACAATATTGCAATTAAATCTAAGTTGTGCAATTTATCAATAATTAATCTAATTTAATTGTACCAAATCACATTAATTCTAAGGGTCACAAATCATCAATCAATTTCAGATTCGGCCCCTGATAAGGCCTTCAATTCGCAATTTAAACACAAAGGCATGAACAGATAATCAAACAGTCAACAGATAGACATACAATTAAACAGATATACTTAATCAATTCAGTTCTAGATTTCAGTCAGTCAGTTCAGTACTTCAATCAATTCAGTTACCAATCATAATCAGTCTCAGTTTAGCAGTAATCAGTGGTTAATCGGTAAATAGTGACGAGGGTTGTTACAAAAATAATAAAATTTTGGTAGAAAAAATTAAAAAGAATTTAAAAAAAATGGTCAGGCTCGCCCAAGCCCGGCCTAAGCTCGAGCCTAGGCCTAGGCCAACCGGCATGACCCGAGGTTGTCATCTTCGGGCCGCGGGCCAATGTTACACTCATATTAATGTGAATGTTAATATGTCAATGTGAACATTTACATTGTCACGGGCCGAGCCGGACCCACCCTAGGCAGCGGGCGGGCTTCGAGCCGCCCACGGGCCGCGGACCAATTTTACACTCCTATCAATGTGAATGTTAATATGTCAATGTGAATATTCACATTATCATGAGCGGGGCCGGGCTCGCCCCGGGCCGCCCATGGGACGCGAGTCAATTTTACACTCTGATCAATGTGAATGTTAACATGTCATTGTGAATATTCACATTATCAATGGGCTGGGCCCGCCCTGGCAACGGGCGAGCTTCGGGCCGCCCACAGGCCGCGGGCCAATTTTACAGTCCTATCAATGTGAATGTTAATATGTCAATGTGAATGTTCACATTGCCAGGGGCTGGACCGGGCTCACCCCGGGCCGCGGGCTAATTTTACACTCCTATCAATGTGAATGTTAACATGTCAATGTGAATATTCACATTGTACATGGGCCGGACCCCTACACATTGACGATATGAACATTCACATTGACGGTGTGAAGATTCATATTAGGGATATTTTGGTAATTATGTCACCCATAGGATTTATTGAAACATAAGAAAATAATATGAGCTAAATAAAACATAAGTAGATGAAAAGGGTATTTTGGTCTTCTTATCTCAAATAGGACCTAATAGAATAGTCAAAAAAAAAAAATGAATTGAATGGAACATAAGTAATTAAAGATGGATTTATGAAAAAAGCTCCCTATAAAAAATGTTATGCAAATTAGTATTATATTTTTTGTAAATACTTGATAATTAGTTAAAAATATTTTTCAATCTATTAATTTGTCCCAAATTATTAAAATCATAATTTAATTATTTGACAATCTACTATTTAATTTATAATTTTATATTCAAATTAGCTGAACCGTACTATACCGCACACCCTTCTAATCTGGAGACCTACTCCGGGTTCGGATATATGGGTCAAATTATCAAAAATCATTGCATGTGATGGCCTAGCATTACTTTTATTTTAAGAAATAATAATTTGTAAATTACTTTTAACTTTTCTTGGTATTTGAAACCTAAGTAAGAAAATATTATGGATTTTAAATTTTATTTTACACGAGACATTTAATTATTTATTTAGTAAAAAATTTAGTATTATTAATATTAATCATTAATAAACTTAATTATTTTTTTATCTATAGATACGAACACAACGATGTAATTACTATAATCTATTTTGAATCACTTAAAATATACACATTTTTCATAATTAATATTTCAGTTATTAATTTTTATATAAATTGGGTTGAAAGTGAGAAATATATAAGAGTATATATATAATAATTCATTTAAATAATAATCTAGAAAATCAAATTACAATTTTTTTTTATACTTTATCAATTATTTTCAACTATTGATTGATTTTGATTAAAAATTTTATAACTGCGATATATAAATAGAAAAACAAAATAATAATAAACTTTGTTGGCGAATTTTTTTTCAGTCAAAGTTAAAATAATCAATATAGTAAAAGCATTAACGTAGGGGTTGTTTATGGTGTTGTAAATAAATGTATTTTTTTATCTTTTTTGACTAAAAAATTGAGGAAAAAAATATGAATGTTTGGATTAACTTTTTGACTTTTTACGAAAAAAATTGTATAAATAAGTGTATAATAGAAGTTAGTGAAGTAGGCCGTACCGGTTGAGCAGTGTAGTGGGTGGTTAGGAGATGGGAAATGATTGCCTTTTTTTTTGAGCTTGAATTGGACGCTGTTGTTTGGCCCTTGAGGGCTCACCATAGGTCTCGTTTTGCTAATCGGAACCATTGAATATGTAGAACTCGTCGAGTACTATATGCTTGTAAAAAATAATGTTAATTGGATATCGATAGCTATCTGATCGTGTTAATTTTTTGTCAATTGTTAACTATAATACCATCCATTTTTTATACAAAACTGATTTGATTACATAATTAGCGATATCCGATCAACATGATTTTTTACAAGCATATAGTACTGGACGAGTTCTACATATTGAACGGTTCGGATTATCAAAACGGGACCCGTGATGGGCTCCCACGGGCCCAACATTACAATCTAACTTAGTGAATATATATATGTAATCTTTTTTTTTATTCATTCTTTCCTTTCAAGTTAGTACCTAGAATCGTGTAAAGTAAGTTTGTATTAAAATATTATGTATATTAATTTTTTTATATTTATAATTTGTGAATAGTGATGACTTTTTTACATTTTTTTGTAACTTTTTAACTTTTTAATTTTTTTTTTTTAAACAGCCCAAACTAGGCCTAAATACAAATAAATAAACAAACAAACAAACAAACATGAAGTAAGATATAACAAGACTAATAATATTTACCATAGTTATTTTTAGTTTTTTGAAAATACTTTCCAGAAAATTATACTTTCTTGTTTTCTGTATATTTTTATTTTTACTGATTTTTTTAATATTTTAAGCATTTTTTTTAAAAAAATTTAGACACGTTTAACATAAATACACTTAAAAAGTATAATTTCGTGAAAAAATATTTAAAAAATTCACTAAATATCAAAAATACAAAAAAAGGAAAAAGAAAATTTGGCATATTTTTTTGTATTTTTGTATATTTATTAAAATTTTAAAATATTTTTTCATAAAAAATTTACTTTTTAGATACATCTAAGTAATATGCATATAAAAAGGTAAAAAAATGCTTTAATTTTTTAAAATATTTACTAAAAATAAAAAAAATACGAAAAATAAAAAACTTAACTTTCAGAAAATTAAATTAAAAAAACTGAAACCAAACACACTTATTAATTTTTTATTTATATGATTTTTTTTTTCCTGGGTTTGAGTTAAACTTATCAATTTTTCCTAATAATTGATTCACTACAAGTTTTTTTTTCAGTGAACATGTTAATAAATTTTTTCCTTTTAAAATTGGTTTAAGTGTCATATGAAATAAAATATTAAGATAGTGTGATATAATTATGTTAAATTTGTAGGCATTTTTATATTTTTAAAATTTTAGCGTAAAGATAAATTATGCCATTAGTTTATGTACTTTAATCAAAGTGTCACTTTAATTTTGTTTTGGATATAGCTTATAATTTATTTTTTTATTTATTATAAAAAAATTATGTAAAAAATAGAAAGATAATATATAACTTAAATAAGCTAATAAATTAGCTTTTTTAATTCATCCCAAAGGAGGACTTTTAATTTTAAGAGTGGTCTCTGATTCCTATAATTTATTTTAAATTTTATTTTGAGCCTTCTAATTTTGTACGTGATACATTTTTGGATCAAAATTTTCTAATGGTAAACAAAAGAGGAACAACTCTGTAACAAAATTAAAAATGTGGCGTTGAAATTATTCAAATTAAAATTATAAGGACTGAAGTTGGAAATTTTAATATAAAATACTGGTGCAAAATATAATTAAGGGCTTGTTTGAGGTGTTATAAATAAGTGTATTTTTTATCTTTTTAAACTAAAAAGTTGAGGGAAAAAATATGGATGTTTGGGTTAATTTTTTGACTTTTTATAAAAAAATATGTATTAAAAAATTGTATAAATTATTATTCAGGAAAAAATTAGGATTGAGATTTGTGCAGCTGTACTTGTTGACTTTTGATAAATAATAATAACTTTTTAACTTTTAAAATATTTTTTTAACTTTTTTTTTTTAACTCGCCAAACTTAACCTTAATATGGTGTAGCTGTTAAAACAGCTTATAGATTTTAACTTAACAGATTATAGATTATGACTTTAATCAGAAATTGTTAATCTGTTTGGTGTAGCTGTTAGATTATAAATTTAAGTTGCTGAGTAGTGTTTGTTAAATAAGCTGTGAAATAGTTTTTTTAATTAATTTTTATTTTTTGTTTGTCTACATTTCTCATAAAAAATAAAAATAATAATCTATAGTCCATTTGAGTCTTTTTTTTATTTTTAAAAAAATAAAAAATAAAAAAATTTAAAGGTATAATCATAAATTAACGTATCTACAGCAGAAGCTGATAATTAGAAGAAAAAAGTGAACAGCTTGTTAGAATCAACTTTTTAAAGTTAAAATAAATAATTAAAATTAAAAATTATTTAAAATAAATTTAACTACACGGTCTAAAATAACTTTTTCAAACTAAAAGTCGTAAATTGACTATGAAAAACAGAAACAAACACCCCCATTGAACTTTAGTTTTGGGTACACTCTGTGCTGTGCGTCCACTCGTAGAGTCGTAGTATTATCGTTTCGTTTCGTTTCCTTTTTCCAATTCTACCTCTGGTCTGGAGTGAGAATTGCTTCGTTTTTCAAATGTTTCGTGTCGTTCATCAGAATTTTTTGTGTATTGAGGCACACCCATTATCAGATAATCATACTTTTTCTCTCATCAGAAAGTGTAGAATACGAATACCAACCTCTCGTTTTGATGATGATGATGATGGTGGTGAAAAACTCATCAAGAAAAGGGGAAGAAGAAGAAGAAGAATCAACCTCAACTTTCATGTGTGCCGTGCAGTGGAGAAAGAGTCAGAGTTCGAGGTTGACCCAGATAAGGCCCGAGAATCCCTTAGAAAGCTTGACGAACAGCTTCAATCTCTCTCCAACAAACCAATCAACCGTCCCAAGATAAGGGGTATTCTCTCTCTCTCTCTGTGTGTGTGTGTGTCTATATATATATATAGTTGTGTTTGCAATCTAAACTTCGTGGATGGTTTGATGAATGAAGAAGAAGGTGGGTTGAATTTGAAAACTGTTTTGTAATTATTTACTGATGTGAAGTTTTAAATTAATGTTATATTTGGTTCATTATAATGAGATAAAATGGAATGGAATGGTTAAGATGAAATTATTAATGTTTTTATAATGTTTTTGTCATTATGTTTTTAGTCTAACCAAACATGATAATGAATATTTTTGATTGAATGATATTTCACTCAGTTTTTAGTCTAACCAAACACGATCCGTCTTCATTTATTAACAAATATCACTTTACCCTTTTTTTTTTAAAATTATTTTTTATTCAATTGAAGTTGAAAACATAAACTGTTAAAGTAGCATTACAACACTGGAGGATTAGTCCCTCACAATACTCACTCCAGTCATATCATCTATGACCAAAGTTCTAACTTCATCTGGTGGATCCTCCAATATTACCAAATGTTCATCTTGGGCCACTCCCATGTTTGCTAGCTTATCTGCAACTCTGTTTCCCTCCCTAAAGGTGTGACTGAGAGAGCAATTGCATCTTTTCAATAGAAATTTTGCACCCTCAATAATAGCCTTGTGAGGGGAGTTGTGGCTAGGGCCATCTTGGAGTTGGTTTGTGGCCTATTCAGAATCTGTCTCAATCTCCACATCCATTTTGCCTTTTTGGAAGAGGATGGTAAGGCCCCTGTAGATGGCCCACAGTTCAGCTTCCAAGCTTGAGCAGTGTCTTATCTTGCCATAGTAGCCCCATATCCCAGTGCCAATTTCATCACGTAGCAGTCCTCCATAACCAGCCTGACCTGGGTCTCCTCTAGAACATCCATATGTATTAAGCATGAGTTTATCTATAGATGGGAAACACCAATTAATTAGTCTAGGTTGGGATGAATTGGGGTGGAGAGGAGATTGGAAAGCCTGTTCAATCTCTTGAACATAATTCCTTATGTTCTTGAGATTAGTTTGAATGGAGTTAGATAAGTTTTCAAAAAACAATTTGTTGCGATCCTTCCAAATCTGTCAAAGAGTTACAATAAAAATGAGGTACCATTTGTTCCTGAAAATAACATTTTATTTTTCATATTGGAAGAAATCCATTCAAACGAAGGCTGTCCACATCCTAGCTCCCACCAGTTATGGTTCATAATTTCAGTCCAAATTTCTTTGGATTTAGCACAATCCCTGAGGAGATGGCTCATATCCTCACTGAAGAGCCCACACCTAGGACAAAGATCTGAAGTTGCCATGTTCCTCACAAGCCGCAGATAGTTAGTAAGCAATCTTCCCCTCAGAGTAAGCCATAGGAAATATTTTAATTTCTGGGGAATTTTAATTTTCTAGAGCCATTTCCATTCTCTACCATTCCTTTCCTGGTCAGTGATGATTTTATATGCAGACGTTGTGGAAAAATTGCCATTAGAGGACCCAATCCAAGAGGGAGTTTCAGTATAGGTCACATATCTAGGCCTATAGATTTTGAGGATCTCTTGGAGGTCCTGCCGATTAACAAGGTTAACAAGAATAGCAGTGTTCCAGTTCCCTTCGTCATCAAGTACAGAACTAATCTTGTCTAAATCATTAATATGAGTGTTGTTATAGGCTTGGGCTAGTGGCTGTTTCCCACACCACCAATCATTCCAAAAAGAAAGCAATGCTTCTTTTGAGGCCAACTGAAAAAGGAACTTTTATCCAAATATTTTGATTGGAGGATTTGGCACCAGAGTTTATTGCTGTCACTTAGGATATTCCACCCAAGTTTGGTGAGGAGTGCTGAGTTTTTGTCCCTAGCTTTTCTAATTCCAAGTCCACCATCTTCTTTGCTCTTGCACACAATATCCTAGATGACTAAATGAACTTTCTTGCTGTTTTCAGTATCACCCCATGGGAAATTTCTATTGATTTTGTCTATTTTGTCACAAACTTTCCTAGGGAGCTCCATGGTTTGCACATTATAGCTGGGGATAGCAGATGTAAGTGACTGGATGAGTGTTAGTCTGAGAGAGATTTCTAGCTTTCCACCCTGAGAGTCTAGATTTCAATTTCTCAATAGTCTCATTGAATAAGTTCTTGTTGACCCTTCTGTGAAGAAGATGAGACCCCAAATATTTTCCCAGGTCTTGGCTGTGGGGTATTCCACTTTGGGCACTTAAGGCTCCGGCTTTGTTGCAAGGGATATTGGGGGATACAAAAAGTTTGGATTTCAAGTGGTTAATTTTCTGCCCTGAGACCTCACAAAATTCATTGAGGACATCCATAATGGTTTCACAATTTGTATGGTCAGCTTTGGAAAACAGGATAAGGTCATCGGCAAAAAACAAATGGGATAAAGGAGGACTATTTTTAGATGCTTTGATACATTTTCAAGTGCCCTTTCTAACTTTACTATTTATCATGTTTGATAATCTTTCCATGCAAAGCGCAAAAATGTAAGGCGAAAGTGAGTCTCCTTGTCTAAGTCCTCTCTCAATCTGAAGCCCTTCCATGATCTCACCATTCAAGAGGATAGAAGATTTGTTATTGGTGATACAATTCATAATCAGACCCACCCATTCATCATTGAGTTTGAATTCATGCAAGGTGTCCCTAATAAAGTCCCAGGATAGTCTATCATAGGCCTTCTCCAAATCTATCTTAAAAACCATACCACCCCTTTTACCTTTTTTATTTCTCAAAGTATGGAGGATTTCTTGGGTGATAATGATATTATCAGTTGTGTTTCTCCTAGGGATGAAGCTGCTTTGGTTAGGGCAAATGATGTTATCCAAAAGAGGTTTTATTCTACCCACAATAAGCTTGGTAATTATCTTATAGGAGACATTACATAGACTTATAGGTCTAAGTTGTTTGATATTCTCAGGGTTTTCAACTTTCGGAATCAACACAATCAGGGTCTCATTAACTTTATTAGGGACTTTATTATTATGAAAGCAATCAGTAACAAAGTTGTAAACAGATTTACCCACAATGTTCCAATACTTTTGATAAAAGATGGCTTGCATGCCATCTTTTTCTGGTGCTTTGAAGGCACCTATATTCTAAATAGCTTTTAGGATTTCAAGGCTGGATATGGGTTTGATGCATTCATCATTCCCTTCTTTAGTAAAACAGGTGAGGGCTATATTTTTCCAATGATCTAGACTTTGAGTATCAGCTCTTCTGAAGAGGTTTGAGAAGTAATCTAAAATGATGGTCTTGATTCCCTCTTTGTCAGTGATCCAATTCCCATCATTATTTTTGAGATCATTTATCTTAATTTTCCTCCTCTTGTTGATTGTAGATACATGGAAAAACTTGGTGTTTATATCTCCAAGGGAGATATACTTAGATCTAGATTTTTGAAACCAAAGCGTTTCGTCTTGAAATAGCGTTACATTATACTATTTAATGAGGTCTTTTTCTAAGATCTATAAATTATGTGAGAAGTTGTTGGTTAGAGCTCTTTGGATGCCTTCAATCCTAGCAAGTAAAAGTCTTTTCCTTTTAAAAATATTTCCAAAGACCTCCTTCTTCCACTCTGAGACTCGAAGAGTGAACTCAGCCGTGGACTCTAGGAGGTTGTTATTCATATCATTCCATGAGGATTTAACCACCTCAATAAGGCCAGGGTGAGACATCTAAGCAGCTTCAAACATGAAAGGTCTATTTAAGGGGTTATGGGAATGCATACCTTGAGTGTACACTACCAATGGAGAGTGGTCTGAATATGTTATGGGGAGCACTCTAACAATAGCTTCAGGAAACAGAATCCTCCAATCTTCATTGCACATAGCTCTATCAAGTCTCTCCATGGTGTTAGCCAGGCCTTGCCTATTGTTTGTCCACGTCATTTTGGGTCCAAAACTTCCCAAGTCTAACAGTTTGCAGTTGTGGACCCTATCAAGGAATTTCTGGGTTCTCGAAGAGCTTTAGCTTGTAGAGAAACTCCTTCTTTCACTCTGGCTACCATAATCATTGAAATCTCCTGCCACCAACTAAGGCTTTTCCATGTTTTCCGTTATTGTCTCTAGTTTATCCCACAGTGCTCCTCTAAGTGTGGGATTTGGGCTAGGATAGATTGTTGTTAAGACCCATTCCTCATAGTCCTCTTTGTGCACGGTGGCGTGGATGACCTGAGGACTGACTGAAGATGCTCTAACATTAACTTGATTGGTGTCCCAAACAAACCAAATACAACCTACCTTGCCAATGGGGTCAACAATGGTTGATGCAGTGAATTCCAATCTGTTGAAAAAATTTCCCATTTTACTAAAAGCTACCTTTGTTTCCATCAGAACCATAATTTCAGGTTTGTGTGAACGAATAATTTCAGCTAGGTTATGCTTAAAGGTGTTATTACTGGCGCCGCGACAATTCCAGAAGAGAATTTTTAATAGATCCATAGAGGGAAAGGGGAGGGGTGTATTAGTTACCAGGTCCTTGATAATACTATGAATCCTTTGATGATCGTCCTCCACAGATCTCATGGAGGCCATCTGAATTGAGTGAGATACCTTCACTGGTCTTGCCTTCCATTGTGGCTCAATGGTCAATCGGATTTGTTTTGTTCACCAAATGAAAGCGACAAGGTGAGTTGCTTCGTTCTTGGGATCTCATAATAGTCCCATTGAACCGTTCTAGTTTCAATGTTCTTGCATTTCCTTCCTCGGTTTGTCTGGTTCTTTGTTCTTTTTTCTCTCCATTGTCTAGCTCACCTGGGTCTGGAGGCTTTGATTCTTTGTTCAAGAGATCCTATGTGAGGTGATTAATGGTATATTCAGTGGTTGGTGTCTCTGGTAGTTTTATCTATGTACTTAATCTCTACCATGGTTAAGTCTTCTTTGCGTGTTGAGTTTTCCAAAGTGCAAATCATGTTAGTTGGTCCTTCTTGTGTTTGATGCGCAATGGTGCTTCTGGTGCTCCTTTTCTGATCACTGTCACATGTTTCTGATCTAAGCTCTGTGTAATGGTGAGATGAGCTGGCTTCCAACATCTTCCTACTGGATTATGTCTTGCTTTGGATTCTAGTTCCGTTGTTTTATATTGAACTGGACCAATTTTGGTCTTACGTCTATTATCCTTTGATTGATTTGGGCCTATTTGAATGTTGGGCTCATCTTAGACCTTTTATTGCCTTGATCTTGTGGTTTTTCGTCCTCTGGTGTATTCCTCATGGCCATCTTGGCCCTCTTCTAAATATTTAAATCTATTAGGTTTTGGGGTTAGACCAGCTGGATCTTGCTTTTTCTTGGTTTGGGTTGTTCTACGGGTGCGTTTGGTTACTAGCATCCATGGGCCAAATTCCTTCTCTTCCTTTCTGACTTGATTTAGGTTACCATTGTTTGGTGTCTTCTGTGTGACAATGACCCCTTTGTCGGAAACGGCTAGGTTTTTTGCCGCCGGTTGTGCATTTGGTGCCTTGAATCTGCAAGCTTCTTTCCAATGATCAACTCTTCCACAAAGAAAGCAGAACAAATGCAGAGATTCATATTCAATGTTGTAGCACTTATCTTCTAGGATGAATTTGGGTCTCAGCGGTTTACGGGGATCAAGTTCCACACAAATCCTAGCAAATTTGCCCCTGGTAGCCATGGTAGTTGTCCAGTCAATTTTGAGAGATTTGCCTATAGTTTTGGCAATCGCAAAAAGGACTTTATCCTCGTAATACTCAATCGGAAGCTCTGGAAACCGACCCTATACTGCGGTCGTGGTTTCAAAAGCTTCCGATGGTTTGAAATTGGGTTCCCACCTTCTCACCGTGAGGTAATGATCCATGATTACCCAAGGCCCTCCTGTGTATAGTCTTCTGGTTTAGAGAATTTAAATAGAAAATAGTTGCACCCTAAATCTATGGTGTTAAATTCTCCTAGAAGTCCCCTGATGTTCTTCACTTTAGAACAAAGCATTTTATACTCAATACTTTTACCAGGAGTCTAATAATAAGAGTATTTTCCCACGATTTCCTTATCTTTTCCAGTAACTTCTTTGGGAGTGAGACTTTGGGGATGCCCATTTGTTCGGAATAGGTATTTTCAATTGTAGAATGGCTTCCCTGTTCTCCATCTTCCTCATCTGATGAGAGGATTTCCACTCTGCTATCAAATATATAATCTCCATTTCCGTATTCAGGGCTTCCTTGAACGATTTGTGTGGAGAGATCACTGCATTTGAAGGGTCTTGCATGGTGGTTGTCTCTTTAGGTGCTTCAGTCTCCATATCCACCACCTTCTCCATTTCTCTCCCTTACTGAAAGGCCGAGCTCTTGATTTTCTTGGTGCTTCTCTAATAAGATGATCTTCCTCTTCAGACAATTTTCCTAGTCCAAACGAGTTATCTTGATCGGAAAGGTTGCCGGTGTTAATGACTGACATGTCTTATAGAGAGAAAGCTACATGTAAACGGATATATGATAAATATATATATATATATATATCACTTTACCCTCCTTTACCTTGACTTTCAATTATGAAAATTGTAGAAATACATGTGATCTGTAGGGAGTGATACATTTTTAATAGTTGAGGAATCAAAATAGGAGGGGTAAAGTGATATTAGCTAAAGTTAAGAGGAGGGTTGGTGTAATTAACCCTTGAATTAATCCAATTGTGGCTTTGGAAGGGGGAAAAATGTGAGCACTTGCAATTTTGTGGGCATTATTGAAAGGAAAAAAAAATAACTACGCCCGACAAAGCTTTAAAGATGTTAATAGATATACATGTATTATGATCAACCTGTGTGTGAAACTACTAACTAATTTTGCTTAATAGAAAAACCATGTACCCAAACAATAATTTGAAAGCGAAGTTTATAGTGTATACACCAAAAAAATTCCCTAAAAAGTTCCCAGAAATGAAGTGTACCCGTACCATGTAGATTCAAATTTGGGGTGTGGCTAGAATAATTCCTGTCCACATATTTCATTTTTGGTTATGTTGTTATTTAGTATAACTGGTGAGAACTTGGTGTATTTATGCATATGTATACATGTTGGTTTATGGAGTTTAATTTGCATATATATACATGTTGGTTTATGGAGTTTACTTTGTATAAAACATTCCTATTTGATGTGAACCACTAATTTGATTGTGCTAACTAGATCAGTAGATACCGAGAAATTTGAACTACCTATTGCTATTCATTGGAGCAATTGGCTGTTCAAAGTTATATAAATTGAGAAACCAAAGGCACAAGCATACCCAATTACAACTTTAGAAGGCATGTTTGTAAGGTGAAAGATTGATACCGAAGTTAATGAAATTATTAAAAATTAGGGTAAATTATGCAAATGGTCCCTATAGTTTATACAATGTGTCAATTTGGTTCTTGTTGTTTTAATTTTATCGATTTTGTCCCTTAATTTAATGGATTGTATCATATTCGTCCAATAAATAACGGCCGTTAGGTTTGGTGGACGGAAACTCAAACCATGTGTCAATTTGGTTCCTATCAAAATCAAGCAAATTAAAACAAGAAGGATCAAATTGACATATCGTGTAAACTATAAGGACCAAATTAACATATCGTTTGAGCACGTGATAACTTTCCGTCCACCAAACCTAACGGCCGTTGTTTATTAGATTAATATGATACAATCCATTAAATTAAGGGACAAAATTGAGCAAATTAAAACAATAATAGGAATCAAATTGACACATCATGTAAATTACAGGGATCATTTGCATAATTTACCCTGAAAATTATGAACACTGGTAATATTTTACAAAATCATCACAAGATTGAGTCGTTAAGATAAAATACTTAATCTAACATAAGGAAATTAAACTAGAGTGGAGTAAATCGAAATCTAGCCAGACTTTAACAATTTGAATTACCGGGTTTCATGGTGAGAGTTTTTAATGTTGATTTATAAATCAATTCAAAAGAGGAATCTCCTTGAGAAGCTATAAATTAGTATGAAAACTTGTCTATGTTTAGAAGATTGTGCAAACACCCTTTTTAAAGGAAGAATATGACGAGAACACAGTTGTTCTTGATTTGGTTTATTTGGAACTTTGGGGAGGGAATTCAAAAAGAGTTACAATCTTGATGGAAAAGAAATCATAAGGTCCATGTTTAGGGTAAACGTCTAAAGAGTCGATAGTTCTTGATCCTTATGTCCCAAATCAAAACCAAGAAAAGTAACATTGATTCGTCTTTAAAAAATTACATCATGAGATATGGTGTAAGATATTATTATGCATCTTAGTATATAGTGTATGATTGATATTAATTTTCATGATGGAAAACTCAATAGGTTCTTGCTATGTTTGCCCATGTGCTTAATTCCATGCCTGTGTACATGGCTCTGATTTGGAATGGCTGAAAATTTGAGAGAAAATGTCTAACCTATGGAAAGCTATGTCTAAACTTAAAAAATCTCCCATGACATGTCATTAAACAATGGTGTCACATCTATGATTTGAGTTAAAGGACATAAAACTCGTGTATTTTTTGCAACTAGATCTCTAGGATGATTGGCATTGGTGCTGATACCTCATCTACTAAAATATTGACAAGTTTCTAAGATATACATTCCTTAGAATAACAAGAGAATTATCGTGATTTTTACCATCCTTTTTGTTTGGAATGGGCAAAAGAATTTAAAAAAAGAAAGAAAGAAAGACATCCTATGAAAATTGAATTGCTTCATTTTAGTTGAATTTTAAGTTACCCTCTCAAACCACCCAACATCTAAAAGTTGGAAAATAAATGAAATTAAGAATCAATAGTATGGTTTCGTCTCATGGAGTCCTGTGCTAAATCTCACTAAACATGCACACAATGGCTTAGTGTACTATGAAATTTGATTAGTAGTCACTTTGTTATTATGTTATACACAAAGCTGTTTGGAAACACCTTATGGACTGATCTAATCTGTTTCTAAACAATTGCAGCTTCAGAGCTGGATGATGCACGAGTTCAAATGAAAGAAGAAAGGCCAAAGTTTTCAGAATCTTCTCTTGCATATCTGGCTTTTGCTCTCCTTATCTTTACCATTTTCTATAATGTTTTATTTATTACGGTTATAAAACCATCCATTGATGGACCAGAACCAATTGAAGAGCCAGTTGCAGCTACTTCTGTGAGAAAAGCTTCATGAGTAGCGCTTTTACCATGGCTGCCGTCAGTGTCGCCAATTTGAAGTTTCTGATTTGTTGTAAATTATAAATTTCAAGCTTTTGTGTAATTTGACAGTAGAAAGCTTCACGCAATAGTAAGAATCAGTTTTGCTGCTTCATCATGCCAAAACAAAGGGGATAAAATTATTATCATAAGGTTGAAGTTGTCGGGCTTAAACTGCATGATTTTGTTGAGAGAGCAATTGCTTAACATGGAAATGAAATTGTTTGTAGCATTTCTGTTGAACCTATATCGTTTCGTGTAGCATTTTGCAGGTTATCTGCTTTTGTTGTCGTCCTTGTGCATGCCCATGTTTAGGCCTCGTTTGGAAACAGGTTAAGTTAGTAACTTTTTGATTATTTGACTAAAATATGAGCTAAAAAAAACTAGTATGTTTGGGATGTTTTTTAGCTTCTTACGAAAAGATGTGCAAAAAATAGAGAGAAAAGAGAATTTTTGATTTTTTGGTATGGGTTGTAGGCTTTTTGATTTTTTTAGTGACTTTTTAATTTTTTTGACTAAACGGGTCGCTTCCCAAACGAGGCCTTTTAGTGTGGTAAGTCACTCCATTTTTATGCAAAATCTTATTTATCAATTGCATGACCTCTGCTTCAGGTGGACATCGTTGACGCTATGTTTTGTAGGAGAGGGAGGAAGATTTTTGCTATTTTAAGCCAGATTCAGGTCTCGTTTGGGAACATATATTTTTAGTAATTTTTTAGCTTTTTAGCTGAAATATGATGCAAAAAAAAATTAGTATGTTTGTGATGACTTTTTAATTTTTTATAAAAAGATATGCAAAAGGTAGAGAAAAAGAGAATCTTTAATTTTTTAGTATGAATTATAGATTTTTTAATATTTTTTTAGTGATTTTTTGACTTTTAAAGTAAAAAATGATAATGCCAAGCGAGCCCTCAATTTCCTTATAATTAATTTTTATTTTTCTTGTGATTTTGTAAATTTTTTCCCCTATAATCAAATGATAGTAAAATAAGCATAACAAAAGGCTAATTAAAGTCTTATATGTATTAATTAATAAAGTTTGAATTCTGTTAATATACATCTTTATATAACAAAAAATGTATATTTTTAAATCTTTGAATATTTATTTTAAGGATGAACGTTAACAATAATTATATATTTTTACTGTTATGTTTTTTTAATAAAAGTCTATAATTACTTTAAGTTTTTTAATGAGTGAAAACAAAAAAAACAAAAACAAAAGCAAAAAAAAAAAGAAAAGGAGAGAGAAAGTAAAAAGCTGAACATAAATTGGGAAGAGAGAAAAGAGCGAAAACAAAGGGGGTTATGATGTCTTATTACCGTTGATAGATCTTGAGAGAAATGAAGAGGAAAAATTAGATTAGACAGTATGATATAGAGAGAGAGAGATAGAGAGGCACAGAAAAGACAAAGGGGAGGTTAGGAGAGAGAAAAAGCCTCTGCAAAAAGTGCTTTTTGACTCTCTCTCTCTCTCTCACACACACATTCATGGCGGATTCACACGTTGAATTCACCATTTCACAGCATTCTATTATACATCCCTTGCATTTCTTCCATTAATTCAACTTCCTCACCTTCAAACCCATCTGGGTCTTCAGTTTTTCCAAAAGAATTCACAGGTGGGTGGTTAAAAAGTTGTCTTGGCTTCATAGTTTCTGGGTTTTCTCTTTTATGGTAAAATTTTGGTTTTTTTTTTTATTTTTAATGCAAACATTTTCATTTATGACAATTTTTAAAATCTTCCCAAGTTTTTGGAGATTTCTTTCATAATTCGCTATATTTCCTTGTTTTTGTATTCGTTTCTTTATTACAGTATTATTATTATTATTATTATTCTCCTGAAAGAAGCTCTGATTTTGTCCTGTTTTTCTTCAGATAATACTGGGTTTTACTTTTAATGCCACGATATTTGAAATTTGTGGCTTGAATTTGAATTTTTGTCTTTTTTTCCATTTTTTAGACTGAATCATCAGATTTTGATGATTTTAACATGTTCTTTTATTAAATGATTTGTTGGGTTTTCTTCAAAATCTCTGAAACTTGGGGGTAAATTTACAGATTTTGATCCATGGGGAATTGCTGTGTGATGCCCTCTGGTTTCTCATCCGAGAAGAAAAACGCAAAGAAGAACAAAAAATACAATCCTTTCTCAATTGATTATGGTACAGCTCATGCATCTGGAGGTGGAAAAAACAAGCTCACTGTATTGAAAGATCCAACAGGCCGAGACATATTGCTGCAATACAATCTGGGTCGCGAGCTTGGGAGGGGTGAATTTGGGATCACATATTTGGCCACAGATGTGGAAACAGGCGAAAAATTCGCTTGCAAATCAATATCCAAGAAGAAGCTGAGGACTGCTGTGGATATTGAGGATGTAAGGAGAGAGGTTGAGATCATGAAACATTTGCCTAAGCATCCCAACATTGTGAGCTTGAAGGATAGTTTTGAGGATGACCATGCAGTCCACATTGTGATGGAGTTGTGCGAGGGCGGCGAGTTGTTTGATCGGATTGTGGCGAGGGGGCATTACACGGAGAGGGCGGCTGCAGCAGTTATGCGAACAATTGTGGAAGTTGTGCAGGTACAGACTATATGGATAGTTTCGATCATCCACCAATTTTCATGTTGGTGTGCAATTTGATGCTTTATTGTCTTCCATTGAATCCACATTTCATGTCCTGAATTAGGTTTTCTTTTGATTTTTATGAGATTGTTGTTTATGTTCCTGAATTAACCGCCTAATGTTCTTTTTTAGGGGTTTTTTATTTATTGAATTTGATGTGGTTTGCTCAATTGACATCGCCTTCAATTTGATGCTTATTCCAATGAATCCACATTTCATTACTTGCATTAGGATTTGTTTTGCTTTTAATGAGATTGTTGTATATGTTTCCTGCATTGGCCTTCCGAAATTCTTCTTTAGGGTTTTACTATTTCTTGAATTTTTGTGTTTTGCTCAATTGATGTGGTCTTCAATTCGGTGCTTATTGTCTTCCATTGAATGCACATTTGATGTCCGGAATTGGGTTTTGTTTTGATTTTTATGAGATTGTTGTATATGTTTCCTGAATAGGCTTATCAATGTTCTTCTTTAGCGATATATTATTTCTTGAATTGTTGCAGTTTTTGTTTGTTCAAATATTGCTATTACTTGAGTTTGTAAAGATTTTGGTTCATTTAAGATTTGAAAGTGATATTTGAGTTCTACGAAACTTTGTTTCCAAATCTTACCTTTTCTGTGGTGTCCCTTGTGAATATTCCTTTTATTCTGCATCTCTCTATATTTGATTATAAACCTAAATTTGGTGTGTATGCATATATAGAATATTATTTCTGAGACATTTATACCTTTATACGCTGATGATTGTTAAATGGATGATCTTATTCTTATGGGCTTATCCACTATTATCTTTCTGAAGATTCCACTAAAACTTCCTTTTCATAAGTTGGAATAAAAGTTCCCACTAAGTTCATGTCTTAGGTATATATATGACTATTTTATTATATAAAGAACACAATTCAGAATATATTTTGAAGCTATGTCACTCATTTTCTCATACCCAAATTACCCCTACGCAACCATAATTTTTTTTTTTTTTTTTAAAATTTCAAATTTTGATTTCTTCAGTTTTTTCTCTTTCTCCTTCCACCTATCATCAACTCTTTCTTTTTTCTGTTTTCTTTTTTCACAAGATGAGGTTACAACTGTCTTTTCTGCACACGCATCATGTGTGCGCTACCTTCTGGTAGATATATAAATTCTTGTATTCTTTCCCACTTTTCTTTGCTTCCTCATCATGTTGAACTGTTATATTGGCTATTTGGCTATTTGGCTATTTTCTGTTACTTTGTTGATGCTGCAGTGTTGTTTAATTGAGCAGATTGCTTTTGCCTTTTGTTGAAACTTGTCATAGTTTTATTTAGTTTCTATCTGCAATCAATGGGATTTGCTTTCTGAACCTTAAATATACTTTATTTGCATGTCTTTCCAAGATTTTCTTTTTCTCTCTCTCTCTCTCTCAACTTTGTTTTGCCTTGCTTTTCTTTTCTTGTAATTTTTTGTATTCTCCACACATTGCAGGCGTGTCACATGCATGGAGTGATACACCGGGATCTGAAACCCGAGAATTTTCTTTTTGCAAACAAGAAGGAAGCAGCACCTCTGAAGACAATTGATTTCGGACTGTCAATTTTCTTCAAACCTGGTATTGCATTCTATTGACTCCATTGCATTCAAACCTGGTATTGCATTCTATTGACTCCATTCAAAACTTTTAGCTGCCAATTTGTTTTTGCAATATGAGTATTAGGCGCTGTTGTGTCATCATCATATCTGCCTATGTATTTCTTTTATTTTACCTGGTTATTGCTATTTGTCTACAGGTGATCGCTTTACTGAGATAGTGGGAAGTCCTTATTACATGGCTCCAGAGGTTCTAAAACGCAATTATGGCCCAGAAATTGACGTCTGGAGCGCTGGAGTTATCCTCTACATTCTACTTTGTGGTGTTCCCCCTTTTTGGGCAGGTCTGCTTCTCTATATCAGGCAGTTGCAATCTTTTCTGCGAGGGTTAAACAGTTCAGGGCTGTAGGTGTAGTGTTTGGTTTGGTGGTGCACAATTAGTGCATTTGAAATCATTTGTTATTATTATTATTTTGATTGGCAACAACGGAAAGTGATCATTTTTTGATGAAAGGAAAGGTTACAAGAAATTGGAGGACAAGGAGTCATCCAAAGAAGAAGAAATCAAGAAGAAAGGAATCCCCTCAAAAAGGGGAAGAATCTGAGGCCCAAAAAGATGACAAATAACAGACTTCCATAGAAAAAAAATATAGTAGAAACTAATACTATAAATATGGTGCAGAATATAAAATGACTTTAATAACCATGTCTTATCAAAATAACCGTGTTTTTTACGCAGAAACTGAACAAGGAGTAGCACAAGCAATTATTCGCTCTGCAATTGATTTTAAGAGAGACCCATGGCCGAAAGTTTCTGATAATGCAAAGGATCTTGTGAAGAGAATGCTTGATCCAGACCCCAAGAAGCGGCTTACAGCTCAGGAAGTGCTCGGTAACATTTGCTTACATAAATCAGTGTGTTTTATACTCTGGTTTTATTAGTTAATACAAATGAGAGGACTAAACCATCATTTTCCCTGCCTTCTCGTTTGAACGCAGAACATACCTGGTTACATAACGCTAAGAAGGCTCCAAATGTCCCACTTGGCGAGACTGTGAAAGCAAGGCTTAAACAATTTTCTGTAATGAACAAGCTCAAAAAAAGAGCTCTAAGGGTAATAATTTTAGTTGATTCATTGAAAATAATTTGTTTGTAAACTGTTGATTTGGCAATCTTTATGATGCCTTTTCTGATGATTGTAACTTTCATGTGCCACGTATACAGGTGATTGCAGAGCATTTATCAGTGGAGGAAGTGGCTGGTTTAAAAGAAGCATTTGATATGATGGACTCTAGCAAAAGAGGCAAGATAAACCTCAAGGAGCTTACAATTGGGTTGCAAAAGCTTAGCCACCAGATCCCTGAAGCTGATGTTCAAATCCTAATGGAAGCTGTATGTATCATAATGTTTCTATCAAACATTCCTCAATTTTGTTTCCTCACTACTTTCTAGAAACGGAAAACTTATCTACCCCAAAATAAGTACTCCGAAAATGAAATATGTGTTGTAGATTTAAACTTGGTGTGATGTTGGGAAATACCCAGAATAAATCTGGTCCACATTTGTTAGGTTCAGTTTTTAGAATTTGTTTTTTCAAAAATTTCAAAAACTAATGTGGTGAAAAAAAATAAAAAAATAAGAACCTCTCATTATTTTCATATGTTTTTCTATTTGGGGGCAAAAATAATTTTCTTTTAAAAATTGGAAAATATTTCTTTAGTGTTTATTTTTGTCAAACTAGTATTTAGTTTTCCAAAAAAAATTTAGAAAACAAGTTATGAAAAATCAACCAAACTGGTATAGTTGGGAAAGGGAAAAGCTTGCTTTGTGATTGCAAATTGTTATGCCAGTGTGTTGTAAATTATTTATATACAATGATTCTAGAAAGCTGGTTCTTTTCCTAAGCTTCCATCTGCCTGCTCAAATTATGACTGACTAATTGACTATAGAAACATCAAAATGCAGAGATTTTCCATGTTGTCTATATAGTTGGGTTTTTTATTAGGTCAACCGAGCTACTTGAGTTGAACTCATGTTTGACTCGCTAAAAGCTCATTTGAGATCGGCTTATTATATAAACAAGTCCAAACGTAAACATATTTTAAAACTCATGAAATTTCAAGTCAAGCTTGAATAATTTACTACTCGGTTTGACTAGATTATATGCACTATAAAAAATCAAGCTACTCGAGCTTGTCTCAATTAAAGGTCATTTGAGATCGGCTCGAAAAATAAACAAACCAAATTTGAGCACATTTTGAAACTTGTTACATTTTCAATTTAAGCTTGAACAATCTATTACTAATTGAAAAGCTCAGCTCATACTTCTCCATAAAACTCAGGTATTAAGGAGAGGAAAACTAAAGTTTTATAACCAGCACAGATGAGACAACTCCAAGCGATGTGAGACACATGCCAATACACCCTCCTAGACCACAACATCCAATAGCTGGCTGGACAAACGGTATACTAATCACAGGCCCAACCAAGCTCTGATACCAAATTAAAAATCCTAGCCCACACTTCTCCTTAAAATCTAGGGTTCCAGACTTCTCCTTAAAGCCCAAGTCCAGGACAGATTAGGTGATGTAGGACACATTCCAACACACCTTTCTGGCTAGACTTTTCCTTAAAACCCACGTCTAGGACAGATTAGGTGATGTAAGACACATTCTAACACACCTTTCTAGTCCTCAACATATAATAGTCGGACAAACGGCACACCAGACACAGGTCAAACAAGCTCTGATACCAAATTAAAAGCCCAGCCCACACTTCTCCTTAAAACCCAAGTAATAAGGAGAGGGAAACTGAAACTTTATAACCAACACAGATGTGGCAACTCTAGGCAATGTGGGACACATTCTAATATTACTTAGCTCGTTTACAGCCCTATTTTTTGATACCCGTCCAGTACCCTAGACTCTCTGCTTTTAACAATCTGTCCACCCCAAAATCTCTTCCTGAACTTCAATTAAACTATTAGATTATGTCATGGGAAGTTGGAAAAAAGCTTTTATTTATTTATTTATTTTTATTGATAATTTGAATCCTGGTTGCAACAGGCTGATATCGATGGAGATGGAATGTTGAACTACGGAGAGTTTGTCGCTGTCTCCGTTCATCTTAGGAAGATGGGCAATGACGAGCACCTGCATAAAGCTTTTGCATTCTTTGATAGAAACCAGAATGGTTTTATAGAGATTGAAGAGCTCCGGGATGCCTTAAGTGACGAAGATGGCGCCAACATCGAGGAAGTCATCAATGCCATTATGCATGATGTTGACACAGATAAGGTCAGTCTCGCAACGTATACCAAGTAGTAGTTAAATCTTTGATCTTGCATTTGGCCCTGTTTGAAATTTGTGCCAGAGTGTTTAGTAGAACTTCTACTCACAATTTATGAAACAAAAATAGTTTAAATAAGCTGAAAAAAACTAATTATTTGTAAGTTAGTGAAGTGATACTTTTAACTTCTGCTATATAATTATCAGGTTTCTACACCTATTGTCTGTGCTCTTATTCACAAATCCTCGTATCATTTCTTAGAAGAGTGACATTTTTCTACATCTATTCCATTGTGATAATATTTTCTTGTCTTCCCAAGTCCTCGTGGCATATATGTCTGAATTGACTTGAACTTGTTTCTAGTTTTTCCATATTAATGTTTTGAAAATTTAAGAAAATTAAAATCAAATTTTGGTCTCATTTTGTTAATGCACAGGATGGGCGTATAAGCTACGAGGAATTTGCTTCAATGATGAAGGCCGGTACAGATTGGAGAAAAGCATCGAGGCAATATTCGCGAGAAAGATTCAACAGTCTTAGCTTGAAGTTGAGGAGGGATGGCTCGTTACAGTTATCTGATGAGGTTAGGTGAACAATGACAAACTTGAGGAAAGAAAAATGGCATAGGATGTTGTCGTCTTCGCTCTTTTTATTTATTTTATTTTATTTTATTTTTTACTTGACGAGTTTTTACAAAATTAATTTCATAAATTTTTTAGTAGGACCAGGGCTTTCAATTTCTTTCCAAATAGTTGTGTTTTTTGGGGTTTTGTTTCTTTGACACGTTTGTAGTCTTTTGTAGAAGAGAAAAAAGAATATTCTTACAAGATAAAGGGTGATGTTTTGTTATTACAACTACTCTGTTGTTTTCATTCCGAGGGAATATTGTTTATAATGGTGATATTGCGTGAGAGTATATTATAATCAATAAGAAATCTCACATTATAGGAGTACGGGTTACAAGACTAGGCTAGTGAGAGACAAGACAGATGATCTCACCTGGGATGGTGTTAATTATTGCACCAAATTATAATTTTGTTAACAACAATGATTCATCCCACTAAAAATATCACCACTAATAGCACTAACGTATTAAAAAAATAAAAAAAACAAAAAAAAAACACAACTCCAAGATCAAAACATCACATCATTAATGGCGGGATCTACTGCCACCTAATTAGTAAGAGCACTAATTAGTGCTCCCAAGCATTTTTCTTTTGTTAACCAACCGGACTATAGTCTAGTTAGTGAGACATCCTCACCAAGAGGTCAAGGATTTGAATATTATTTATGTGCATCAATAATACATGTCAATTTAGTACATGAGTTTTTGGAAACAAGTAAAGAGTAAAGCGTATTTGGGATCTGATTCTAAACTTTTGGGGCTGTGTTCCATGGAAGTGTTTTTCGCGAAGTTCCCAAGTGCAATAACCAATTCCAGGAGTTTTTTTAGTACAATATGTCAAAACTCCACTATAAGGGTTATTCTGGGTCTTTTTTATTTTTTGGACTAATAGTGATTAAAAAAAAAAAATTCACACACACACACACTCTCACTTCATATATCTTTTGCACATTTTAATAAATTTTTTTACACATTTTTTTGATATTAACAACAGTGTTAGAGTTATTTTTAATATTTTTATAGTTCTCATTAATTATGGCCAATTAACTTAGGCCTTATTTGTCATTTTTTAAAAAAGTCAAATATTTAAAAAGTTACTATTCTATTTAAGTCACATCATCTTATTTAAGTCACATCACTTCTCTACTTTATCACTTCAAATCCAATTCATATATAACTCATATTTCATAAAAAGTCAAAAAGTACACTTATTTAGAATATTCCAAACAATCCCTTAACCTAAGTCAAACATGACACGATATTTTACTTTCTACTTTTTTGAGGAGGCATGTCTTGACTAACACTTCGTTTATAGGCTAAGATGGTATTTGCTTTTGAGGGATTGAGGCATGAAATTGGATTAATAGTTTTTCAAATTAATAGTCTATTGTTTGATTCAAAATTGTTGCTCCGGACTATTAGTCCCAAATATGTTGGACTATTGTGTCCCATGGGAGGGGGTGGGACACAAATGGAGGGATAAATATTCCGGCAAGTCCGTACTCTTTTCTTCCGAGTTCCGTTTCTGTTCGATCACTTGCGAGCAAATAACGGTGAGCTACCCGGCGGTGTGTGGCCGGAAAAACCCTCCGACGATCAAGTTAGCACACACCTTAGGATAGAGAGAGAGAGAGAGGGAGGAGTGTTTGAATGTAAGAATTTCCTTACAAAGTGTTCGTCTCTACGTATGGAGGGCGCAGACATGCTTATATACCCTCTGCGCCCCATATCCACTCCCAGTCATCTCCTAACACGTGGCTCCGCTATCCCATCTGTTAGCATAAACCTTACTGAACATCACCTAATCTCAACTGCCTGCCTTCTCAGCTGGAGCTCGGCAGTCGAGCTTCTCTCTCCACGGCCGTGCTGTGCTTCATACCCAAGCACTTCATTGGCTTAGCCCAAGGAGGACCGGGCTAGTCGGCATCTCGGCAAAGCGTAGCCCGGGGCACCTCCTGTGGTCGGCCTTCCTGCCGATCAAACGATTACCTCGGTTGACCACGCCTTTTCGGGCGCCGGTCACTCAGCTTGACTGGCTCCACCATCGCCTGATCAAGCAGCTCGGTCCAACCGAGCACTGCCTTGCTGAGCAGCTTCTTTCCAAATTGGGCCGCACATCCTCGGCCCAACACTTGCCCAACCCAAATCTGTCCGGCAAAACCCTGTCTGGCTTAGATCTATCCGGCCCAGTACCAGATCATTAATCTCCCTCTCAATTGTCCCTTAATTCCGTCCGTGCGAGCGTGACTGGGATTACCTATACTTCGACCGGGGTAACATTTCTTCGGTCTTCAAAATGCTAAAGGGCGACCGGGCTAGTTAACATTACTGCCTGCAAACTTGCCCGGTTATACTCCTCGGCTGACATCCTTTTCCTTGAAAGTAGCCCGGTTGGCTCTTCGACTCTTCAACCTGTCTCTTCAGTTCTGACGTCGCCATAAATGGGGACACGTGGTGGGCTGTCATTGGTTCTTGAGCAGCCGACCTGCCGTTTTGCCAGAATTTGAATTTGGGCGGTCTCTTTTGGCTATACATACAAGACCCTTCGTCCTCATTTTCCTCATACTGTCTTTCTGCAATCCAACTCGCCAAAGCTCTAGCATCTTCCTCCAAGCCCCACTTGCCATTCTTTGCGTTTGTGCTCGAAGGAAAAGTAATTGCCCTTCACTGGTAAGACCTTCAATCCCTCTTTTGTTGCTATCTTCTTTAATATTTCACACATTAGGGCATGAAATCGTAGCTTTTAGGCCTTGGGCTCCTAAAACCGTCCCAAACCCTCGATTGTTAACGGTGTTCTTCATTTTTCCTGAAGAACACTGAAGAACTGGGACGGACCGGGCTCCTGGTCTTCATTTGATCCAAAAAACCAATCTAACCGAGCAAATAACATGTTTGTCTCAATCCTAGCAAAACCGAGATAGCAAAAGGAATTGGTCGCTCAACCGGGCTAACATCTGGTTCGCTTGGGCGACCGAGCTCCTTAGTTAGCTTAGGAAACCGAGGTGGTTTGGCACTCTTCATGACCGAGCTAAAGAAAAGCTCATTTTGCGTGATCGCGCTCACACTTACACTTGCCGTCCTTTTCCTTCAGAGTCCAAGGGGACCACTATCCATTCCTCAGGCTCTCAAGACCGAGCAATTACCAATTGCCACTGTGCCAAACACCTCAGCCGAGCTACCTTAGTCCGGCCACAAATAGGGAAATTTCGCTTCCTAGTGGATACTCCGGCCGCGCTAGCTGCGTTCAGAGAGGAGTACGGCATCCCGACCGACGTCCATCTCGAACTGGCTGAAGAGGAGACAACACCCTGGGGCAGACTAGACCAATGCCCCTTCACCGTGCTGTTAATCGTCGAAGGAGGCCTCCGCTTCCCACTAAACCCACTTATCACCGAGTTCCTCTGCCGCACCGGGCTGGCATCCACACAAGTGTCTACCAACACTTATCGAATTATCAACGGCGTCCATGAACTGAACAATCAGCTAGGCACCAACTTAGGTCTAGCCGAAATATTGAGGCAATACATGATGGGTCACACCGGTGACGGCCTTGCCTATTACTTGAAAATCAGACTGGGCAAGGAGAAAATTGTAACCGGCACTCCAGATAAAGATTTGCACGACGACGATTTTTTCTGGGTGTCGGGCAATTACGAAACAGCCGAGGTATCGGGCTGGTTTATAAGCAAGAACTTCGGTTCCTCATGTAAGCCGCTCAAACTTGCTCGGTTAGCTTACCTCTTTATTCTGTAATTAATCGGTTTTCCTGTTTCTTTTGCAGCAATCCAAGCCTTGCAAGCCAACTATCAATTTCCCAATGTAGAGGCAATTCGGACCGTGCTTCGATATGCCCACTGAGATTGCAACGATTTGCTCGGTTACACCCCAACCTACAGGTACTCTGCTCCGCGCCGGAGTAAAGTAATAGACTTCCTCCGTGCTCCTTCGCCACCTCCAGACCCTACCCTTCCTGACGTCCCCTTAATTCGGTTGACAGACGAACAAGAAATGGCCAAAAGAAGCCGAATCAAAAACCTTCTCACTGCAACCTCGGCCGAGATACCGAGTGTCGTCGCCCGCTCCTCGGCAGCCGGTCAATCAAGTGCCGCCGTGGTCGCCTTAGCTTCTCCAGCCGCCGGGCAGTCTAGCCAAGAAATACGCCAGGCTAGCAAAAGACCACGGGCCGATCCCTCTGCCGAGTTCGTCGCCGAATTGACAACCGAGCAACCTGCCGACAGGGTCAGCTCCATCCCAGCATGGCGGCCGCGGCTGAAGCATCGGGGCAAAGAGATCCCGGCAAATGCTTCGGTCAAAGGCGACAAGGAGCACTTGCTTGCCTTCGACCTCTCAAAGGCTCTGCTGCTGCCCAGCGACGTGGTTGGAAGCGACCACGTTCCTGACACCCGGCTGGTCAAATCCGCCGTGAAGTCCATGACTAGGGTAAGAAGTTTAATCTTCTGCTTCAATTTTCGCAAGTGTTTGCACGGTTTCTTCTCTGATCAAATTCTCATTTTGCAGGCCATCCAAAAGCAGCACTTGGTCATGGAGCGCATCCACAGACTTCGGCAGAAGGCGAGTGATACCGCTAGCCAAGTCGAAAGCCTCCAAACCGAGCTTGGCCGAGCAAGGGCATCCCTCGAAGCCGCCAATTTTGACAACAACCGGCTGCTCGGCCAACTTGAAGCAGCCGAGAAAGAGAAAGACGGGCTCCGGGCCGAGCTTGACGAGCTTAAGAAGTCCAGGAAAGAAGACCGCGAGGACGCCAATAACGCCGGCTTCAACGAAGCCGAGGAAAACTACAAGAAACAAGTCTTTGCCACCCAGGACATTTACTTCAAGGCTGGATGGAAGGCTGCCTGTCAACAGCTCGGTTAGGGTCCTGACACTGACGTGTTTTCCTCTCCACCGGCTGTCTTCTTATCGACCTGCCTCATTCCCTATGCCAATGACACCTTCAGTGCGCTGCAAGCTGAGGCCGAGGAAGGACTTGAAGAAGAGGGTGAGGCAGACTCTGAAGGAGAGGATCAAACCGAACAGGAGCAGGCCGGCCAGACTGGGACCGGTGTCCAAGAGCCAACTGCCACGGTCAACCTGGAGGCTGATGAGGAGTTCCCTGATCTCTCCCCCCTAGCTTAGGTTTCTCTTCTTTTTGTATGTTTGCTTTCTGCGTTTCTGATGTAACCGGGCTCTGTCCCCACTTTTGTATTGACTTTCTATCAATGAAAAACTCTAATTTTGCCAAGTGTTTGCACGGTTGTCATCAATTCCATCTTCAGCAAAACATCTCGGTATAAATCAT